ATGTGTGTGACAGTCAGAAGTCTCCAGCTAGGTATAGTGGCTCATCTCTGTAAGCCCAGCTAAGCGGGAGGCTGGAGGCCAGAAGATTACAAGCAAGCCAACTACTTAGGACACTCAAGCAGGAAGATTTTTACTTCAAGGCCAAGTGTGAACAACTCAGTGAGACTCTGTCTCCAATAAAAATAAATAAAATAAAAAGGATGGGGATGTCTGTAGTTCTGGTACAGGGCCCCTGTATCCAATCTCTAGCACAAAAGACAAAGAAAGGAAGAAAAAAAAAGGGTCTCCAGTCTCCAGATATTTCTAAATAGAGTATCCCTTGGAGGGTATAATTGCCTCTAGTTGAAAACTATTTTAGAGCAAGCCTCATAGTAAAAATTGTCCTCCGCTTTTATTTACCTACAAGTGTTGTTTTGCTCCTATCCCTTGGATGTGAAGTCGATCTGGCTGTGACATCTGTCAGCCCATTGATTGCCAGGGTTGATTGGGCCTATTTTGCTCTTACTCCTGAGTGTTGTGTTAAGCATAATTTTATGTTAATGAAGCCTGTGCTTTTGCATTTCCTAGTCTTTGTTTTGCTGTTGAGAGTCTTCTGTCATTATGTAGTTCCTTTAATGCTCTGTTCATACTCTCTGGCTGCTTTCCAGATATTTGAGGTACTTTGTAGTTTAACTGAGATATATCTAGGCAGAGCATTCTTTTTTCATATTCTTCACTGTTTATCTAACCTCTTCTTTATGTTGATAATTATATTTTTATTTTGTAGAAGTTCTATTTGTTTTTCTCTCTGAACAGTCTCATTGCTGAATAGTTTGCTCTCTTTCATAATTGCATTTCTTATGGATCTAAACATTTCATATAACTTTCTTGATATAAACATTTAATCAAATTTTTATCCCACATTCAGGACTTCTTCACTTTTAACAGGTTTTAAATAGAGTCCCAGCTTCCGTGTAGCATAGTACTTGCCCACAGTTGATGACCCCCAGGCAGGGTGCCAGGGCAGGTAAGCATAGTGGAGGAGAAACAGTTCATGGCAAGCAGAAGGTAGCAAAGCAAGCAAGTGGTCAGACATGCCTCTTTCTGACCCTTATATTGCATTGAGGGTACTGGGCTTGGGGTGGTACCAAACCAATCAGTGGACTGATTTAGTAATCATCACTCTTAATCCTACCACCCTTAATCCTAGCATTGAACCATGAGTCAGTCACACACTCTAGATTCTGCCATCTCTGAAAAAGCCCCATCTATGATTATATGAGGCTTTAGTGGGATATCTAGACAGAAGCCATGACAGGGTCTGAATCTCAAGGAACTGACATACAGATAGATGTTGGACAGTTAGAGATTATTCACTGTGGCAGTTACCATGGTACCCTAAGCAATCTATTTCTCTTCTGTTACTGTGGTTGAGTTTTCAGCTGTCTGCTTCCTGCTTGTTTTTGATTCAGCCTGGTTCACTACACTTCTTGTCAACCTGAAATTCTTCTAGTAAATTCCTTTTCTGCCTAAATTAGCCAGAATTGGTTTCTATAGTTTGGGGCTAAATTCTAGTACATTTCCCTCCATGCTTTTTATATTTCAAAGTCTTATTCATCTTCAGAGACTCAGCTCAGATGCCAACTTTCTTTGCAAAGCTTCTAGTTTTCTTCAGTTAGCAATTTTGTGCTTTGTAAATAAATATAGTGCTTATTTTCATTTTGCATTTTATTATAGTTAATTACGTGTATGTTTTCTTTGTTGATTGTAAGTTACTTGAAAGCCTGTACTTAATATACTGCCATTTCAGAAAGAGTTCTCTTTCTTTCTGAATGACTGATAGCATTTTGTTTTCCCCCAGGGATTGAACTCAGGGCCTTGTGCATGAGAGGCAGGCATGGCACCACTGAGCTAAGTCCCCGGTGAGTGATAGCATTTTAAAGGCAATTTTGAAGTGGGGCATGCTAGAGAAAATGTGTTTATGAGCACTATTATTTTGAGAGTACAGATAGGGGAAGCCTTTATGTTTCATCTGCCTTTGTTGTACTATTTAAAGTAGCCTTTGGTGGTGGTTCAGTAACTAAACTATTGATCTCTCAAGATCCCGATTTATATAAGAACTTTAAATTGCCTTGGATTTAATTTTCCTCATTCTAAGACAGTAGTCATAAATCTAAAAAAATCTAGGTCTTAATAGACTCACTTAATAGACTTAATAGATTAATAGACTTTCCAATTTAATGAAAATAACATTTTTAAAACTCAGAGTAAAACAGATTACAATGTCTAGAGGTCTTATATCTGTAGAATCCCTTCATACTATTTTGTCCTCTATAAACTAATTAGTTTTATATATCTATAAGCTTTATTGTTATTTTGTTTATACTTTGGATTTCTTTGCCATTTTGGGAGTCAATTAGTAAATAAAATCTTTTTATTATCTAATTACTAATTCTGTATTTAAGAAAGTTTGAAATGTAGAAATTTTAGTATTTTTTTCTTAACTGTTTCCTAATTGGTTTGATAAATTTTGACTAGGATTTATTTTTTTTGTATGTGCTATTTTTTTCTACAGAAAATGGAGTTACATAAATACTTTTTTTATTTTTAAGTAGCAGAGGAGACTTAAAGCATACAAGCATTAAATAGTGTTTCTTTATGGCTGGAAAGTTAGGTCAGTACTAACATAGTTTCTTGTATCTCAATGTTGTTATTGTTAATATATGTTCTCTTTCATCAAATAGAAATTGTAGGTTCTTTGTTTCAAAGAGATAGTGCAAAAATAAGTTAGCTTACTTAAAATATCTAAAAATTGATGTGCAGTTTTTTTTTTTTTTTTTTTTTTGGG